CCTCCCCTCCCCTCTCCTCTCCTCTCCTCTCCTCTCCTCTCCTCTCCCTGTCTTCCAAAGAGTGGCCTTTGTTTTTGAAGTGCAGGTGGACTGCTGTATCTTGTCCTGATACCTTTGGGTCCTCCCGTGCTATTGGGCGGCATCCAACTGATGAGAAAGGAAGATTCTCTTGATGTTCTCCATGATTACAATCTGACTCAAGGAAGGGGAATAAAGAAAGGGGGTTGTACAAGAGGATTTTTCCTCCGACCAGCCCTTCTTTTCAAGACTTAAGAGAGAGGCGGGAGGCTGAACTTCAGACAAAGCCAGAAACGAGAATCCCTTAACGCTCAAGAATAAATCCTTTCTCCGCCCAAGCGATCAGCCTCTTGCGACTTTCAGGGCTCGAGAAAAAGAAGGAAAAGCCGAACTAAGTGTTTTAACGGTGGCCTGCAGGCAGCTTCTGGCCTGGAACCCATCCTGACGCAAGTGTTCTGCAGTTTTTCCCCTTCTTCCCACCCTCCCAATCTGTCTAAGGCTGGCTGTCCTAGAGGGATGTGTCATCTGGAGATCTCCCAAGGGCTTTCCTAACTCCCGAAATCTTTTCCCTCCGCCGTCTGTGGCATTTCCCCCATGGATGCACCCTGAGCGTGCTGTGCCTTGCAAACAAATGAATCATCTGTCCTTGAAAGGGGGTGGTGGTGGGGGGGAGAGAGAGAGATAAATCAGGTCCTCCCCCTCCCATCAGGGATTTCGGAGGTGGCTGTTGCCGGGATCCCCCTTTCTTAAGAGAAGGAAGCTGTGCCTTCCAAAGAAGGCAGCCCACGGACTGCGGAGGATGGGGAGGAAAGTCTTAAAAACACGGGGTGTTTCCCCCAAGTGTCAAGGCAGTCTGGATTGCCTCTTCCACCTCCCCCCCAATCTCTCTCTCTCTTCCCTCAGGAGCAGAATATCTGTTTACACTGGGCTGCTTTTTCCGGCTGCGTCGACATCGCCGAGATTCTCCTGGCTGCTAAGTGCGACTTGCACGCGGTGAACATTCACGGAGATTCCCCGTTGCACATCGCAGCCCGGGAGAACCGCTACGAATGTGTAGTGTAAGTATGAAACCGGGGAAGTTGGTTTCTTCCCCCTCCCCTCTTCCCGTTGGCGTTATTTCTGCGTGAAATTAAACCACCCCATCTCACCTCTGGGCGGTTGAATGAAACCGTAGAAATGCACGGATAAAAGGCCTAGCTTCAAAACTGAGTTGAAACTTAAAAGTAAAGATAAAAGTTCAAAGGCCAGGAGGTTAAGGAGGTGGCGGGAGTGTCCTCAGTTCATGTCCAGCGCGGGAAATCGGGAGCCAAGGTGGTTCAAATTGGCACAGGTTTATTGCGTGCTAACCCTTCTCTATAAGAATCTGAGCTACTAACAATCAAAGCAAATTGGTGGCAGATAAGAGTCAACGGAACTCAAGATGGGCTGGACTTAGGTCTCTTGTGGGCGCAAAAAGATTCGAGACCGATGAGGACCATTCATAGTTCAGATTCTTGTAGACAGAATACAGGTAAACGATTTCTCTGTCCAGTCATGTCTGACTCTAGGGCTCGGTGCTCATCACTGTTTCTGAAGCGTTGTGTGAACATATTTTCCACGGTCTTGTGCAGTGGTAGAATTCAATTTTTTTACTACCAGTTCTGTGGGCATGGCTTGGTGGACGTGGCAGGGGAACGATACTGCAAAATCTCCATTCCCACCCCACTTTGGGGCCAGCCAGAGGTGGTATTTGCCGGTTCTCCGAACTACTCAAAATTTCCACTACAGGTTCTCCAGAACCTGTCAGAACCAGCTGAATTTCACCCCTGGTCTTGTGACTAGCACGGCTATATGCCAAAGGCGCACAGAACGCTGTTAACCTTCCACCGAAGTGGTACCTATTTATCTACTCGCATTTGTGTGCTTTCGAACTGCTAGGTGGGCAGGGGCTGAGGTAAGGAACGGGAGCTCACCCATTACGCAATGCTTGGGTCTCGAACCTGGGCTGTCGGCTTTCCAGCTGAGAAACTCAGCATCCTGTGCACTCTGTTAGCATACAATAAAACTATATATTCATTTGAACTACCTGGACTCCTGATTTCCCGCGCCTGACACCAACGGGATGCTGCCGAGCACCATCCCTTCTTTCTCAGTGACCTTGTTCTTTCCTTGCAGACTGTTCCTCTCCCGTGGCTCCGACGTGGCCCTGAAAAACAAGGAGGGCGAGACTCCGCTTCAGTGTTCGAGCCTCAACTCTCAAGTCTGGGTCACTTTGCAGATGAACAAGACCCTGAAAGAATCAGCTCCAGAGAAACCCGCCCAGGTGGAGAAGATACTAAGCAGGTGTGACTACCTGCCTTAAGTTCCAGGCCAAGAAAAAGTTGCACCGCCTGCTTTTCTCCCCATTTCCCCCCTCCCCCCCAAATTTTGGAGAGGAGCCCCCATCCTCTTAAGAGAGATGGATGAGGGGGGCTGCTAGTTTTCCCAATCATATCAGTGCAGGGGAGCATCTCCCACGAAAAGGAAATTTGAAAAGGCGAGGAGCATCCCTGGCCAACTGGGGCCAAGTCCTTCGGATTCAGCTCAACTCAAAGCAGTTTGGGGTTTAGGAGCTGCCCTAAGGACCTGGGTCAGGAGTGAAATGCTACCGGTTCGAACCGGTTTGAACGAACTGAACTGGTAGTAAAAAACGCTACCGGTTCGGGCGAACCGGTATTTCCTATGATCAGCTGGGTGACGATCAGCTGTGACGCGCGATTTATATTAACTAGAATCGTCGGATTTCCTGTTTTCTAGCTAATCTAAATCACATGGCACAGCGGATTCCCCTTCCCCTCGCTGTTCTACTTACCTTTGCAGACTCGGAAGGCTTCAAAATGTTCCTTTTTTAGCACTGCGTGGGTGCGCCTCAGGCACCCATGCGCGCTCAGCGCACGCTTGGTAGCAGGCTCACAGAACTGGTAGCAGACTTCAGAGGATTTCACCCCTGACCTGGGTGTATTTATGGGGAGATCTTAGAATCCGGATTGAATGGCCTGGAGGCTCCTTTTTGTTTTTTTCTGACTTTAGAATACGGCGAGCCGGTCCAGAATAGATCCTCCAGATTTACAAGGCGCGCTGTTGTTTTTAAGCTATGCGTGCCTGTGCAGCTTCTTGCTTTTAAAGCCATTCCTTCTCTCTTCCCTGCCGTGACAGAGACATCGCCCGGGGTTACGAGCGGATCCCGATTCCCTGCATCAATTCCGTCGATGGCGAACCCTGCCCTGTCAACTACAAGTACATTTCCCAAAACTGTGTGACTTCGCCCATGAACGTGGACAGGAACATCACTCATTTGCAGGTGCCAGACTGGTGACAGGAACTGGGTGTCCGTCCTTTCCCTCCCTCCCTCCTTCTCCCCCACTCCTCCTCCTTCTCCTCCTTCCTCTTTCTTTCTTCCTTCTTCTTCCTTCTTCTTCCTTCTGCGTCTCCTCTTCCTCCTTCTCTCACTCTCCTTCTTCTTCCTTCTGTCTTCTGAGTCTCCTCCTCCTTCCTCCTTCTTTCCTCCTCCTCCTCCTCACTCCTTCTTCCTCTTCCTCTTCTTCTTCCTTCTTCCATCTTCTGCATCTTCTCCTCCCTCATTCTTTCCTTCTCCTCCTCCTCCTTCCTCTTTCCTTCTTCCTTCTGCGTCTCCTCTTCCTCCTCTCACTCTCCTTCATCTTCTTCCTTCTCCTGTCTTCTGAGTCTCCTCCTCCTTCCTCCTTCTTTCCTTCTCCTCCTCCTCTCACTCCTTCTTCCTCTTCTTCTTCCTTCTTCCATCTTCTGCATCTCCTCCTCCCTCATTATTTCCTTCTCTTCCTCCTCCCTTCCTCCTCCCTTCCTCCTTCTACACCTTCTCCTCCTCCTTCCTCTTTCTTTCTTCCTTCTGTGTCTCTTCTTCCTCCTCCTCTCACTCTCCTTCATCTTCTTCCTTCTCCTGTCTTCTGCATCTCTTCCTCCTTCCTCTTCCTCCTCCTCTCACTCTCTCTTTCTTCTCTTCTGCATCTCCTCCTCCCCCTTCATTCTTTTCTCCTCCCTTCTCCTCCTTCTCCATCTCCTCCTCTTCCTCCTCCACCGCTCCCTCCCCCCTCATAATTTCCCATTGGTTTAGCTCTGCTCCTTTATCCGAATTGCAGAGTTCATAGCAGCATCCTCACTGGGACACCTCCCTCCCCCATTCCCGCCAGTAACTCTGGTTCTTGTTCCTTTGCTTTCAGTACTGTGTGTGCATTGATGACTGTTCCTCCAGCAAATGCATGTGTGGACAGCTGAGTATGCGCTGCTGGTATGACCGGGTAAGGATTTGGGGCAGGCGCCTTTCCTCTGGGGGCATTTTGAGGGCCGACAGGAAGTGGTCGCACAATTTCTTTCTCCCATCCAGCCGGGCTACCCTGGATTTCCTCTCCGGGTGGCAAGTAAGCAGAGTACGGAAAAACAGGGTTAAACCAGGGCTGATTCCAATTTGTTGTCCTGGCGACCGAATCTTGGAGACGATCTCAGGCAAAGAATTCAGACAATTAAGCAGCGGAGAAAGCCAACAGAGGGGAGGAACTGATCAGCTGGGCTGGGAAAAAAACATTGATTTTTTTTCCCCCGTTTCGACTAAAATGTTTGGGCCCCGTCGCCTGGATCGGATGGGTTATTTGGGGATAGCTTGTACCCCTCATTTCTTTTTTAAAAAATGTTTATAGCAATTTTATTAATTTACGATATAACATACAAACAAAATACAAAAGCAAAAAGAAGGAGAAATAGGGAAAGGGAAGGGAAAAGTGTAGAAAAGAAAGGAGGAGAAAAGAAAGAAAAGGCATTGACTTTCAACTCCCTTTCGTGCAGTAGTACCACAACTTTGAAGTAATACATAGTAGCTTAAACTAGCCATTTCCGTAACACTGTATCTATCTAATGTGTAAACCCCAAAATCAAAGTTTCGGTTTTTTTCCTACCTCAAGCACAAAGTCCAGAAGTGGTTTCCAGGGTCCCCCCCCCTTTGATCAAAGCAGCTAATTTAGCCATCTCTTCCCCTCATTTCTTCAACGTCTGCAGAATCACAAATTGATTTGCGTCCTTCGACCAATGACGTCAATCGCGCTGATTTGAATCATTTGTGTGTAAATGACACCGTTGCACAAACGATGTCAATTAATAAAATGTAGCCGCATCGTTTGGTCTGCTCTGGGGGCAGGGGCCTTGCTTTGACAGGTAGTCCTCGACTTACGACTGCAGTCGAGCCCCCTCTCCCCCCAAATTTCTGTTCCTAAGCGAGACATTTGTAAAGTGAATTTTGGCTAATTTTACAAGCTTCCTAGCCACGATTGTTAAGTTGGTCACACCGTCGTTAAGTGGATCGGGCTTCCCCCATTGACTTTGCTAGTGGGAAGGTCGCAAAGCGGGGAATCACATAACGCTGGGACACTGGCAACCGTCATAAATATGAGCCATCTGAATTTTAATCATATAACTATAGGGATGCTGCCACAGTCATAAGTGTGAGGAACAGTCTCCTGTTCACTTTTTTTTAGTGCCTTTGTGGCTTCGAACGATCCCCAAATGAACTGTCATAAGTCAAGGACTGCCTGTACTTGGGGATGGAGACAAAATCAAAGTCATCCAGCTGTGGTTTTACTCATTGAGGTTCCACCATATATGGCCTTGAGATGTCTTGCCAACAGATGTTCAGCTAAAACCTTCCTTTTCCCCCTGGGTACATGCAGGATGGACGGCTGCTGCCAGAATTCAACACGGCTGAACCTCCGCTAATTTTCGAGTGTAACCATGCCTGTTCCTGTTGGAGAAACTGCCGGAATCGGGTGGTGCAAAACGGACTCCGGTGGGTGAGATGTTCAGATGTTGTTAAGGATATTGTTGAGTTACACCCGAAGTTGTGGTTTATAAAGCAGAGTACCGTTAAGAGTTTTACGCACGGAAACGTTTTTGAGAGTAATTGTGAATAACATACGGACAAACTGGGTTTTATAGTGTTTTACTTTTAGGGAAAAGCAAAATCATAGTCCTTTAACAATCCAAGTCTTAGCCATATAAAGTGCAATATAAGATCAATCCAGGGATATAAAATCTTCTTACCAGTTTGTAGAAAAATACAAGGAACAATCAGGAACAATATTTTTCGTCGGGCCCTGAAAACCTATTTATTTCAACTAGCTGGGCTGGCTTGAGCTAAATTTTAAATTGATTTTAAATTGGGTTGTTTTAATTTACGGCCAAAATATTTAATTATTTTAATACTGTTTTTTAAATTTTGTATGCTCTGTTTTTACTTAGGCTGTGCACCGCCCTGAGTCCTATTTGGAGAAGGGCGGTATAGAAATTTAATTAATAATAATAAAATAATAAATATAAAAACAGTTCAATAAATATCAGAAAGCAGTAAATAAATAATCATGGATCAAACAAGTGACCATATAGAGAGATCAAAAAGAGTTACAGCATAGCAGCAGGTAAAAATGGTGTAGTGTCCACACTAACCATAATTTAGCTCTCCTTAAATACATTGGCTACAGAGCTCAGCCAATCAGGATGCAGAATGACTCAGCACAGTTCTTAAAGCTACATAATACATTCACATAATACAAACATACAATGTTGGCTTATATATTTCCTGGCCAATCAATTAGGCAATAACCCATTTCCTAACAAACGTTCCTTTGACCATCCATTTGTAGCCGGGGAGGACAGAATTAAGAATGTCTAGTTTAAAGACAGTAAGCTATTAGAATACCCCAAAATTGGGAAACAATATTCTTCATCAGCACAGCAAAAGAAAAGAGTAGTGGCTCTAGACATTAAAGAAACAATAAAGGCTCGACAAATTTTTGCAGATGAAGAAGGGAGAATACTGATGGTGGAGGTAACAGTAAATCAAAAGCAAATACTGTTGATTGGGATATATGCACCTAATAATAAGCAAGATGAGTTTTATGGGAAACACCACAAGAAAATCATAGAATTGGAATATGAAAATATATGTGTGGTAGGAGACTTTAACGCAATTGTGGATGCAGAATTTGATTATATGAGCAGTAAAATAGGTAAAAAAAAGCCAGGAAAACGTTTCCAAAAATTGTTTTTAAAAAGATGGAAGAATTAGGAATGCAAAATGTATGGAGAGAGACACATCCTAAGAAAAATAAATATTGGTTCTATTCAAATACTGTTGTGACCCAGGCCCAAGTAGGTAGTAATTGACGCAAACAGTTCCAAAACAAACTGGCTTTATTAGAACAGCTGAGAATTAATTCATTCTCAGCATAGTCCAAACTAAATTAAAGCAAATTCTTCATAACACAAATTCTTCAGTCTAATCACCAACCTTGGTATAATTAGGCAAACTGCCAAAGGCTTCTCTTGGCAAAAGTTCAAAAGCAGAAGACACCGAGCAGAGATAAGTGCAGCAAGACTATCAACATTGTTTTCCAACAAAGAGCCCAAACGCCGTTGCCGGTCTTTTAAGCCTTATGGGAGGGGCCAATCATCTCTTGGCCCTAATCACAAATCGTCCTTTTTGCTTTAGCTGCTCTTGCCTTCTGGCAGCTCTTCTCATACGTGCACTAGGAACAGGCTCCTCCTGTTCCTCTGCCTCTCTACTGTCAGCCTCTGGAGGCTCCGGAGTCCGCACCTCACTCCCAGATGGCCCAGGCCCCATCTCTGCCTCCGACGCAGAGCCCTCATCTGGGCCTTCCCCAGCCTCCAGGACTGGCCCCTGTTCTTCCTCAGCCTCATCGCTGTCTGACTCCGCTGCCAGCTCCGCAGGCTGTTGGCAAACCACAACAAATACACACAAATCTTGGTCCAGAATAGATATGGTACGCATGATCTGTCCCCGTCCACACACACACATAAACACAGCCAGCCGAGGGTTAAGGAAACACTTTGGCACACACCCAGGTCTTATCTCCAACTTGGCAGCGATTTACACACCGTCTGCCAAGTGCGTTTTTTTCCACAAAACAGAAAGATAAGATACTTAGCGTACAAAAAGTCCAATCAGAATAATATTTCTCTCAGCAGTTCCGGACGAGGCTTTAGTGACTATCCAAGGTTTACTTTGTTCGTCACAGGGATCACTGGCCACCACCCTCTATTATATAGTCTCTGGGGTGTGGTCCAGTGACTCAGTTCTAATCCCTAGCACGCCTCCTGAGCTGCTGCAATCGTTTATCACGCCTTCGGAGGCGTGCGTCCAGGAATGATGTTTCTCCTCCACTCTCATCCGAGCCACCTGTCTCCCTGCTAATCTCCTCTTCCTCGGCCGGCACCTGAGACAGTGCCAGAGGGGAGGGGCCTGGAGAGGGAGGCCTGGCTGACTCCTCTTCCTCATGCTCGGAGCTTTCTTCCTCCGATGGGACAGGCTCAGAGGGCGGGGCCACAACAACGCATGACATCAGAACTGAAAGCATGTGTGCAAGAGATAGAAATAGAATCCAATATTTGGGCAGATCATAACCCAATGAAAGTTGTATGGATGGTCTTGGAGATGGTCTTCACGGGGCTGCCCTCTCTCTTCTTGTTTTTCCAGGACCAGGTTGCAACTTTTCCGGACGAGGAAGATGGGCTGGGGTGTGAGGACAATGCAAGACATTCCACTGGGGACCTTTGTGTGCGAGTGAGTGCCTTCGGGGTTTTTTTTGAATCCAGGGATGAGAGAGCAAGGATGGGAGATTGGTGGATGGATTTTTCTTTCCGTCCAGACTCTCCTAGGAGAACCAGCTGCCTTAGGCCATTTGCGAAACACAAGCTCTTCCTGACACCTCCTGATTTGTCCCTTCAGTGCAGGGGTGAAATTCAGCAGGTTCTGACAGGTACTGGAGAACCGGTAGCGGAAATTTTGAGTAGTTCAGAGAACTGGCAAATACCACCTCTGGCTGTCCCCAGAGTGGGGAGGGAATGGGGATTTTGCAATATCCTTCCCCCAGGAGTGGGAAGGAATGGGGTTTTTAGAGTATCCTTCCCCTGGAGTGGGGATTTTGCAGTATCCTTCCCCCAGGAGTGGGGGAGGGAATGGGGATTTTGCAGTATCCTTCCCCTGGAGTGGGGTGGGAATGGAGATTTTGCAGTATCCTTTCCCAGGAGTGGGGTGGGAATTGAGATTTTGCAGTAACCTTCCCCAGGAGTGGGGAGGAATGGGGTTTTTAGAGTATCCTTCCCCTGGAGTGGGGATTTTGCAGTAACCTTCCCCCACGGAGTGGGGAGGGAATGGGGATTTTGCCGTATCCTTCCCCCAGGAGTGAGGTGGGAATGGGGATTTTGTAGTATCTTTCCCCTGGAGTGGGATGGGAATGGAGATTTTGCAGTATCCTTCTGCCATGCCCACCAAGCCACGCCCACAGAACCGGTAGTTAAGAAATAAATTGAATTTCACCACTGCTTCAGTGGCTCCTTTCCCAAAATATACGTGTCTCAAGCCAAGCAGTGGGTAGATTGATGCCTCTTGGCTCCCTTTCTTGGGCTTCACCCAAATAGCTCGTGGTCAGCTGCTTGGATGGTTTTCAGCCAGATTTCGAAGCCTTTTTTTTTGTGTGTGTAAACAGTATTAAATCACTGGAAAGGAGAGTCCGATCCTGGCTTGGCAAATACGACGGGGGATGATTTCGATGGTTTGATTGAGAGTTGTCATGATGGTACCCTGACTTTAAAAAGGTCTTGGCCAAATGGTTCCTGTATGGAAGGATTTATCCTCCTTGCAGACAGATGGTCCTTTGCATCCTTTGAGAGAGTCGTTGAGGCTACCTGGAGGTTTATCCGAAGGGTTGTCGCAGGTAAACCTCCCAAGTGGCCTCAGCAACTCGCTAAAAGAATGCAAATGACCAGCTGTCTGTAAGTTTAGTTTAGTTTTAGTTTTATTAAATTTGTATACCGCCCTACTCCCGAAGGACTCAGGATGGTGAACAGGCACAGGATAAACTACAGAAATGCAAAAGTTAAAAACAATTTAAAACCAAATTAAATAATTTAGCCCACGACAATTAAAATCTGTGGCTTGCTGCCGTGTGCGGAATGTTTGCAGCAAGGAGTCTGGATTTTTCAGATCGTGTCATAAACAAGTCTGGTTATTAATGGGATAATGTTAGGTTTTCCTTTGCATTTCCCCCCTTCTTTTAATAATTTCACTGCCAGGGATTTGTAGTGTACCATTTTAGATGGTCGTGGTTGAGGACACGTCATTAAAGCGTTACAGTGGAGACAGCGGTGAATCCACTTCTTTGGTTTCTTTTCCTCCATTTCAAACATCACATGATGTGGACTAAAATGCACGGATGGCTGAACTATAGATTCAAGAAAAGTCATGTGGCAGAGTTCTTGGCTGCTGTTTCACACTAATTGTAGAGAAATGGCACATTTGAGAGCTATGCCCTCTCTATTAAAGAAATCAAAGAGAAGGCACGTCTGGTGATATGGCACATGTTATTCACGTAACACGTAACATGTGTGTAAAACAAATTAAAATTTCAATTTAAAATTTAAAAGAAAGGGGAGAAAAATTCGGCCAGGCCTCCTGTAAGGAGGATAAATCCTTCCATTCCCCACCAACCCCTTTAGACCCGAAGAAACTTCTCGGATGAGAAGCGAAACATCTTCAAAGAAGAAAAAAAAACACCCAAGAAAGTCCCAGTTGCCTCTTGAAAAAGCACCTTTGGGACAACCATGATCCTGGATGACTGAGAATCTCCACAGACATTGTGTCTTTGGCTACCCGGAAAAGCTTTACCATGTTGGAAAAGCTCCTCCCAATCTGGATCCAATAAGGTCCAGATATCCAGACCTTCATTCCCAGGATTCCCCAGCCCTTTCTGCAGAATTTGGGGAGTTTGAAATCCATTGCGTTGCCCAATAAGGTCCAGATATCCAGACCTTCGTTCCCTGGATTCCCCAGCCCTTTCTGCAGAATTTGGGGAGTTTGAAATCCATTGCGTTGCCCAATAAGGTCCAGATATCCAGACCTTCGTTCCCTGGATTCCCCAGCCCTTTCTGGAGAATTTGGGGAGTTTGAAATCCATTGCGTTGCCCAATAAGGTCCAGATATCCAGACCTTCGTTCCCTGGATTCCCCAGCCCTTTCTGCAGAATTTGGGAGTTTGAAATCCATTGCGTTGCCCAATAAGGTCCAGATATCCAGACCTTCGTTCCCTGGATTCCCCAGCCCTTTCTGCAGAATTTGGGGAGTTTGAAATCCATTGCGTTGCCCAATAAGGTCCAGATATCCAGACCTTCGTTCCCTGATTCCCCAGCCCTTTCTGCAGAATTTGGGGAGTTTGAAATCCATTGTGTTGCCCAATAAGGTCCAGATATCCAGGCCTTCGCTCCCTGGATTTCCCAGCCCTTTCTGGAGAATTTGGGGAGTTTGGGGAATTTGAAATCCATTGCCTTGCCAAAATTGGGGAGATCCTGCTTTCCTCTTATTGCATTCTGCACATTATCGAGATTTTCTTTGGGGTTTTTTTTTTTGTTGTGTTCTTGCAGATACGTCGGGGAGCTGATTTCTGACTCGGAGGCGAACGTCCGTGAGGAAGATTGCTATCTTTTCGACCTTGGCAACAAGGTAAGGGTGGTTGAGTGTGTGATTTAGTTATTTATTTATTTATTTATTTTAATTGCGAAGGATTTCAAGGGCGAATGGAAGTGTTAAAACGAATTCTCCGCACCCCTCCTCCTCCTCCTTCCGTCTTGCATCACACGGGGTGGAACACAATCGTTTGTGTGAAGCTCTTTTCACCTTGTAAACCGCAAAGTCCCATGGAAGAGGGGCGGGCAAGGCAAGGCTCGGAGGCTTGGTTAATGGGTTTTGAGAGAAGGGACCAGAAGCAGGCAAACTTTTCCCAGCAATTGCAATGGCACTTAGACTTATATACCGCTTCATAGTGCTTTTACAGCCCTCTCTAAGCGGTTTACAGAGTCAGCCTATTGCCCCCAATAATCTGGGTCCTCATTTTACCCACCTTGGAAGGATGGAAGGCTGAGTCAACCTTGAGTCGGTCAGGATCGAACCCCTGGCAGTGGGCAGAGTCAGCCTGCAATCCTGCATTCTAACCACTCCACCACCAAGGAAGGAAAGAAGGAAGGGAAGGGAAGGGAAGAAGGAAGGAAAGAAGGAAGGAAGGAAAGAAGGAAGGAAGGAAGGGCACTTAGACTTACATACTGCTTCACAGCACTCTGAAAGCCGTTTACAGAGTCAGCATATTGCCCCCCAACAATCTGGGTTCTCGTTTTACTCACCTTGGAAGGATGGAAGGTTGAGTCAACCTTGAGCCAGTCAGGATCGAACTCCTGGCAGTGGGCAGAGTCAGCCTGCAATCCTGCATTCTAACCACTACACCACCAAGGAAGGAAGGAAGGCGGGAAGGAAGGAAGGAAGGGAAAGAAGGAAAGGGAAGGAAGGAAGGAAGGAAGGAAGGAAGGAAGGAAGGAAGGAAGGACTAGCACTTAGCCCTTAGACTTATATACCAGTTCATAATGCTTTACAGCCCTCTCTAAGCGGTTTACAGAGTCACCCTGTTGCCCCCAACAATCTGGGTCCTCGTTTTAGTGACCTCGGAAGGATGGAAGGATGAGTCAACCTTGAGCCGGTGAGATTCGAACTGCCGAACTGCAGTCAGCTGAAGTAGCCTGCAGTGCTGCACTCTTAACCGCTGCGCCACCTCAGCTCTGCTGAGGCTGCTGCTGAGTGGGAACCAGGCTCCTTTGCTTGAATGAGGAGAAGCCAGAAAGACAAACCCTTGATTAAGGGAACAAACGAAGCACCTTCTTGGAGCAGGATTTGATTGTCAGATGACTCAACCAACTGCAAACAATAATCTTGGGCCCTCCTGGTTATGGAAGATAAACAGGACTGCATTCGATAGGTCTACACTGATTCCCATTGGGCTTTTAATCCAAGGAAAGAAACACGGGGATCTCTCAATAGAAAATTTGCAGCTTTGTAGGGTCTTCGGTGCTCTCTGTGCTGAGTTGTTTCCTTGCAGACGTTTCATGACCCAACTAGGGAATATCATCAGTGGTAGAAGGTAGCGGGATTTGCATTAATGATGCTCTCTAGTTCGGTAATGAAATGTCTGCAAGAAAACAACCCAGCTCAGAGAGCACCAAGGACCCTATATTCCTCGTCTTCCTCTTCCTCCCCCTCCTTCTCCTCCACCTTCAACTCATTCCTTTCTAGCACTGATGATGTTACCTAGTTGGGTAATGAAATGTCTGCAAGAAAACAACCAAGCTCAGAGAGCATCAAGGACCCCACAGTCCTCCATCTCCTCCTCCTCTTCCTCCTCCTCCTCCTCCTCCTCCTCCAACCCATTCCCTTCTAGCACTGATGATGTTACCTAGTTGGGTAATGAAATGTCTGCAAGAAAACAACCCAGCTCAGAGAGCACCAAGGACCCAACCTCTGTCTGATGATGTATCAACCATAATAGACCAGCTTGTTCATTTCTTGACCAACAATGGACCAGCCCACTTCAACTTGACCTCCGCAGAACCATACCACCGGTCACCCCAATTGACTATGTCTTTCTAGCTGGGGGATTATGGGAACACATCTGGAAAGGGTGGGGACATTAGGCTAGATGGGGAGAACCGCTAGCACTATGAATTATCCTTCAAATTCCGAAGTTGGCCCAGTGATCGTGTACCCCCTAGCGAAAATGCTTCTTCACGTACTTAGGCTTCCTAAGTTTAGAAGACACTAAACTGAAGACGCTCCCCGGTCATCCAACTCCAGGTGCCAGGGCAATGTGTCCTTGACTCTCTGAAAAGGGAATGTTATTTTGACTACATATCATCTACACTCTTGCAATCCCCGCTCCCATTTTCCCACAGAAGAAGATGTGGCAGGCCTGAAGGCCCAAACATAAAAGACCTAAAACACGTGGTAAACCAGAAGAAGAAGTTTCTCTGTGCATCAGGAAGGCCAATTATCTTTTTTTTTTCCCCCAATTTTTTTTTTATTATCAAAATATCAAATCAGTGCATGAACAGTGTGGCACCTGAGTGTCATACTTTCTAATACAAATAAAACTAATCAAGTTAATCATAATCCTTAACATTCAATCCACTTACATATTTCTAACAATAATAATGCGTGCTTATATTCATTTATAGTCTTATCATCATTCAATTATTCCATATTTTCTCTTATTACTTTCATTTTACGATCTACACTGATCTTCCCCCTTTTCTTGTTTCTATCCCTTATTCTAGCTTTTGATCTTATCTCATTTATTTATTTATTTGTTTGTTTGTTTGTTTGTTTGTCCAATTTATATGCCGCCCTTCTCCGTAGACTCAGGACGGCTTATCATGCATTATAGCAATAGCCTGCATACTTTTTTGTATATACCTGTTTATTAGGGCTTTCGCCCCCCCCCCCACCCCCCCGAAGCGGTGTTGTTCTATACAAAGTCGGCTTATTGCCCCCACAATCCGGGTCCTCAATTTACCTACCTCGCAAGGATGGAAGGCTGAGTCAACCTTGAGCCTGGTGAGATTCGAACTTGCACTAATTGCAGGCAGCTGGCAGCTAAGTGCTAGCCCTTAACAGCACTTTAGTCCGCTGCACCACCGAGGCTCTTAAGAAACTTTTCCTTTCTTCCTTGTCTGATCATGTCACCTACTTAAAAAAGAAAAGAAAAGAAAAACGGAAAAGGAAGAAGAGAGAGCGAGAGAAAAGAAAACGTAACTCAGAACAACAAGGTGTGGGTGGGTGGGGGAAATCATTGGGAAGCCAATTTTCATGTTGCTTAAGCTTCCAGGCTTCCCCTCCTCCCACTCCTGTTATTGAACCTGACAATCTAATTAGAGCAAACCCAGGCCTTGCAGGATGCCTACTTACAAGTCAAATGAAATTACCAACTTAAAAGGGGGGAGAGGAAGGACGGAGGGGAAGGCAAGGAGAAGGAAATGTACGCTTCTCCTGACGGAGGCCGAAGGAACTTTTTGGTCTCTTGGAAACTGACGTGGTTGGGTTGGACAGCACACGATCCTTGCCAAAACGGCGGCCTTGCTTAATTTGTAAATCCAATAGTAGAAAGCTACCCAACTCGAGGCCACGAGGCTATTACAGATTCCATGCTCCACCTCGAGGCAAAGGGTACTGTTCTGAACCTTACTGAATGTGCCAGCTGCCTGCAATTACTGCGAGTTCAATTCTCACCAGGCTCAAGGTTGACTCAGCCTTCCATCCTTCCGAGGTAGGTAAAATGAGGACCCGGTTTGCGGGGGCAATAAGCTGACTTTGTATAAAAAAGAACACCGCTCAGGGGGGCCCAAAAAGCCCTACTAAGCAGGTATGTACAAAAGTATGAAGCTTATTGCTTAATGCATTGTAAGCCGCCCTGAGTCTCCGGAGAAGGGCGGCATATAAATCAAATTTAAAAAAAAAAAATTGTGATGGAGAAAAATCGGAGGAGAGAGTGCGTTTTACGCTGTCCCGAGGAAACTCGGGACATAAAATAAAAATAAATTAATGGGGACCACGGAGGATTTTAGGCTGGCCAATGTAAGGAACCGAAGACGGAGCAGGAGAAAGGATCCGGTCCTTCTGAGAAACTAAAAACACAATTTCACATTTTCAGACTGTTTACCTGCATCAAAGCAGGGGAGGGAGGGAGAGACAGAGAGAGATAGAAAGAGAGAGAGAGAGAGGGAGAGAGAGAGAGAAAGACAAAGAAAGCAAGATGTTGGGGGGGGGAGAGAGAGAGAGAAACTCTGAGACAAAATCAGCAGTTCTAAATCCGACACTGCCGTTTCAAGGTATAAACACTAAACTGCCATTTGATCTTCTTTGCTTTGATTGTGTCGCAAACTCATTCAGACAAATTGCTATGAAGTGGAGGGGGTGTAAGTGAATAACTGCAGCAATCACAAATGGGAGGTTTGACATGGTGGGAGTACCAGCCCCCCCATCAGCCATTCCTTGAACTGAGCCTCATGTGCTTCGCGTGATTGCTTTAAAGTACTTTTGCTCAGATCCAGCTGGAAGTGGGATTCTTGGTTATTGTATGAAGGTGGCCTGATTTTTTTTTCTCTTCTTCTTCTTCTTCTTCTTCTTCTTCTTCTTCTTCTTCTTCTTCTTCTTCTTCTTCTTCTTCTTCTTCTTCTTCTTCTTCTCCTTCTTCTCCTTCTTCTCCTTCTTCTCCTTCTTCTCCTTCTCCTTCTCCTTCTCCTTCTCCCCCTCTTCCTCCATCCTCCTCCCCCTCTTTCCCCTCCTTCTGCTACTACCCCTTACCCCTGTCTTCCTCCCCTCCTCCTCCTCCTCTTCCTTTGCCATTGCCCTGGGTGTTTTCTGCTCAGAGAAATTCCATCTCAAAATTCTGATTGGCTTTGAGGACCTTCCTTCCTTCCTTCCTTCCTTCCTTCCTTCCTTCCTTCCTTCCTTCCTTCCTTCCTTCCTTCCTTCCTTCCTTCCCTCCCTCCCTCCCTCCCTCCCTCCCTCCCTCCCTCCCTCTTCTTCCTCCTCCTTCTGCTACTACCCCTTACCCCTGCCTTCCTCCCCTCTTCCTCCTCCTTTGCCATTGCCTTGGATGGTTTCTGCTCAGATAAATTCCATCTCGAAATTCTGGTTGGCTTTATTTGAGGACCTTCCTTCCTCCCTCCCTCCCTTCTTTCCTTGTTTCCTTGTTGTAACTTCTATTCTTCTATTGCCTTTTGGATCAAGAGCAGTTGGGAGTCAGGAGCCAGATCCGATCCTGACCCTTAAATCAGGCCACAACGCCAAGCGTTTCAAAAGCCTCTGCTGTCGTCTTTTCCCTTTCTTTTACCCCCCGTAACATTCGTCCCCTTTTCTCTTCTCCAGGACAGGGACGTCTACTGCATCGACGCTCGCTTCTACGGCAACGTCAGCCGCTTCATTAACCACTTCTGCGAGCCCAACCTCATCGCCGTGCGAGTCTTCATGTCCCACCAGGATCTGCGCTTCCCCAGAATCGCCTTCTTCAGCAGCAGACACATAGAGGCGGGAGAAGAAATTGGGTATGGGCGCTTTGTCCCAGAAGCAGAAGTGGAGAAACGGAGGTCAAGGGTGGGGAGGGGAGAGAAGAGGGAACCTTGTTTAGCCCCCTTCCTGATGTTTCCCTTGTTTAAATGGCTGCATTTTAATGCCCCCATTTTGGTCCTGTAACAGCGGCACATCCGTTCTCCCACCTCTTCTCAAAGAAAGAGCTTGCGTTGCTACCCTGTTTCCCCCAAAATAAGGCATCTCCCTGATAATAAGCCCAATCGGGCTTTTAAGTGCATGGCAATAAGGCCAAGCGCTTATTTCAGGGTTCAAAAAAATATAAGACAGGGTCTTATTTTGGGGGAAACACGGTAGATGATAGTTAGATGATAGATAGATAGATAGATAGATAGATAGATAGATAGATAGATAGATAGATAAGTAGGTAGGTAGGTAGGTAGGTAGATAGATGATAGATAGGTAGGTAGGTAGGTAGGTAGATAGATAGATAGATAGATAGATAGATAGATAGATAGATAGACAGATTATCTATTTATCTGATAGATAGATAGATAGATTATCTATCTATCTGATAGATAAGATAGATGATAGATAGGATATAGAAAGAGAGAGAGAAAATATAGATACCTTGTTTCTCCCAAAATAAGGCATCCACTGATAATAACCCCAATTGGACTTTTTTGAGCGTTTTTGGGGAAACACGGTAGATAATAGATAGATAGATAGATAGATAGATAGATAGATAGATAGATAGACAGACAGACAGACAGACAGACAGACAGACAGACAGACAGACGGACGACAGATAAAAACTATAAAAGTAAAAGTTCCCCTTGCACATATGTGGTAGTCGTTCCTGACTCTTAACAGGGTGGTGCTCATCTCGGTTTCAAAGCCGAAGAGCCAGCGCTGTCCGAAGACGTCTCCGTGGTCATGTGGCCGGCATGACTCAATGCCAAAGGCGCACGGAACGCTGTTCCCTTCCCACCAAAGGTGGTCCCTGTTTTTCTACTTGCTTTTTTTTTTTCGTGCTTTCGAACTGCTAGGTTGGCAGAAGCTGGGACAAGTAAGGGGAGCTCACCCCGTTACTCAGTGCTAGGGATTCGAACTGCTGAACTGCCGACCTTTCGATCGACAAGCTCAGTGTCTTAGCCACTGAACAAATACTAAAAAAACATAAAGAAAAGATACCAAAAAAAAAAATTCCTCCCCTTAATAAACACACACAAACGATTTTTAGTAAGTGATCACTTACTCACCGTTCCTATTTCCGCAGGTTCGACTATGGCGAGAGATTCTGGAACATTAAAGCCAAATACTTCAGCTGTCTCTGCGACTCGCCGAAATGCAGGCACTCGAGCGCCGTCCTGGCTCAGCGGCAGGCCAGTGCGGCGGCGGCGGCCGACGCCGCTGCTACCACCGCCACCGCTTCCTCGCAGGAGACCACCGAGAACAGACTCCCGGACACCAGTTCAGCTGCCTTGGCGCCCCCTCCTGCTTTGGGAGGCCTTCCCTGAAGAGCCCGAGCCCGGCTGTGACATCAGAGACGATGCTTTGCATCGGTTTCGTTCTGCCCTTTTTCTCGGCGAGCCCGTGTCCGCCGTAACTGGTTCCCCTTTTGGAGTGTGTGGACGGTGGCGGCCCAGCTTCCTTCCTTCCCTCCCACCTTCCTTCCCTTCCCTCTCGCGACGTGGCAGGGGGAAGGCAGCCTCGCCGTGGCCCGCTCCGGGGTGGCAGAAGGAGGATTCTCTCTCTCTCTCTCTCTCTCTCTCTCTCTCTCTTCCTTCCCCCACTTTTAATGTGATAAGTGTTCTCCAAGCCCCCTTCCCCTCCTCGTTGGAAACAAGGAACGTTGAAATGGACGGCTCACAAACCCCGTCGCTCCCAGTTGGCGAGCGGGGGGGACAAACTCTGCGGAGAGTCTCGGAGAATTGCGCCTGCTTTGGCACACATCCGGGAAAGATTTTTTTAAATTTTATTATTATTTTTTTTTGGCTTGCTGTTGAATTTTCCCTCCCACCCACTCATTTGCTGGCTGCCCGGGCTTTGGAACAGAGACGAGTTCGATAAATTCTGGATTCGTCCCTCGGTCCCCCAGGTCAAGGGGAGCGATCATCTGGAATTTCTCCGTTATATACCCCAGTCCTCGGGTACAGCTCCTCCTTACTCTATCCCCGCAGCGTTATTGTTCTTATTATTCTTATTCTTATTCTTATTTTTATTTTTTAACATTTAAAATAATTTTATTTTTATTTTATTTTTTTTCCTTCCCCGCCTCTTCCCTCTCGTGTATAGGAATCCTCTTTTCAATGACACTAACTCCAAGATCAGAAGAGGAAACTTTGGGGCGGGAGGTTTTCGGGGTGCGGCATCCTTAAGGAGAAAAAAAAAATGATATTCTTAAGAGACCCGTTTTTTTGGGGGGGGGCATTTCTTAATTCGAGGCTGGAGGATTTTGCAAGCACCTGGAGATTTTGTGCCATTCCTGTTTCCTGGGAACCAGCCTCTAACTCTTTCCTCTTCGAAAGCTACCCGTTGCCGAAGTTGGATCGCGCCGAGTTTATTTTGTAATCAATTAGGGGTGGAGGGTGGGGGGGGTGGACAGCGGGAGGACGAGAGTTGGGGGTGTTGAACGGACGAGTCCCCTTCCTTCTCCCCCCTCCCCTCGGCGGCGTCCTCTTCCTCCTCCTCCTCCTCCTCCTCTTCCTCGCCCACCCACTCACCCACCCGAGCAATTTCACGGTGCTGAATTCTCTCTTTGCGATTTTTACTCACTACGTGAATATAAATTTCAGTTGTATAATAAAAAGGACAAAAAAAAAAACAAACAAACAAAAAAAGAGAAAAGAAAAGACAAAAAAAAAAAAGAACAAAGCGATTTTAGTATGAAACGCAGGGACAGAAAAAAATAAAAATAAAAACCCCAACCTAACCGGATTTCCCCCCCCCTTTTTTTTAACCTCCCCTTCCCAAATACGTTGTACGGTAGTGAGCATAAATGGGTCATCGCCTTTTGCGTGATGATCGAAGAGGTCATTTAATTATTATTTTTCTTTTTTTTCCTTTCCTTTTTTTTTTTCCCACATATATCTTTCAATACTGTAATTAGTGCAGTATCAGGTTTTGGGGTCTTCCCCCCCTCCCCCTTTTATTTTTTCTCTTGATGCAACTCTTCTAAACCGTTCATATGACTGGGTGTTATTTCTCTTTTTCTCTCTGTCTCTCTCCTTCCCTCCCCTCCGTTTCATTCGTTTTCTGTTCAATGTTTGGACAAGTTTTAAGGGGCGCACTGAAGGCCCCCCCACAGCTCTGTCATTTCCTTGTTCTGTTTTCAATGAGATCAATAATAATAATAAAAAAAAGTGCTTTAAAAAAAAAAAACCTTGATTCTTTGCTCCCCGGTCTCGAGCGGAATTCAGGCAGTCCTCGGACTTACGACCAGAAGGGAACCCCAAATTCCTGTCGCGAAGCGAGACGTTTGTTACATGAATTTTGCTCTTCCTGTTTCGCGACCGTCCTGGCCATCGTTGTTAAATGAATCTCTGCGGCGGTTAAAAGTCAGGGTTATTACGTGAATCCGGCTCCCCTCCCCCATCGACTTCGCTTGTCAGAAGGTCGCTAAAGGAGAATCCCCCGACCGCCGGGAACACTGCAACTGTCGTAAATACAAGTCGGTTGCCCCAAGTGTCTGAATTTCAATCAGGTGACCATGGGGAAGTCTGCAACAGTCATACATGTAAAAAACGGTGCTAAGATTTTTTTCCCTGCACCGTTCTAACTTCGAACGGTCACTAAACGAACCATTGTTTAAGTCGAGGACTTCCTGTCCAGGCCGTCTTCGGTGTAACGACCGGCATTAAGTCATTGTGGTCGTAAAATGGATCATGACGTGACTGATTTGGCAACATTTTTGTTTTACTTTTTGCGATGGTCGTGAAGCCTACGCAGTCGTCGTAAAAACAGGCCACTTTTTTTTAAAAAGCAAAAATTTTACATTTTAAAGCCAAAACTCTCTTCTTCTTCTTCTCCTTTTTTTTTGCTGGAAATCGGAAAGAAATGCAGATTTCCAGGGGAGGGGGAAATTGGTAAGATGGTGGGGATGCTGCAGACAAATTGCAAATGGAGGATTGTTTGCCAAGCACCAGCAGATGTAGGAAATTTCTCAAGCTCTGCCGTCATTTCAAATGGTCGTTAAGCGGCCGTAAGTCGAGGACTACCATGTGCCAAGGCTTTCTGGGTGTGTGCAATTCCATCGTAAATCTCTTCATGTTTTAGTGGATCTCGGCACCAGCAATTCAGGATTCGTATCTCCGTTTGAAACAGCCGATTCCAATCCGAAAGATCTCGGCAAAGAAACGAGCCGTATTTTCAATTGACTCTGTATTTTGGGCTTGCCGGTAATATAAACGGGTGGGGGAAATGCATCGGGACGATCCAAGCTTTTTATCATTTAAAAAATGATCAAATTTGCACTGCACCAAGGGTGAATATTGTTTGTGTAGTTATTCTCTGAACAGATCCCAAGAGGTCAGGATTTGGTTTTTCAATTGTTTTCCAGGTCTGCTGGCGGTGAAGAATTCTATTTGGTTATAGAATAACTGTTTATTGGTCTGATTCTCCAAAAATCCTCCCTTCTTTTTTCTCCTTCCTTCCCTTCCTCTCTCATTCCCATCTCCCTCCCTCCCTCCCTTTTTCTTCCTCACATTCCCACTTTCCTCACATTCCCATCTTCCTTCCTTCCCTCCCTCCTTCCCTCCTTCCTCTCATTCCCACCTTCCTCACATTTCCATCACCTTCCTTCCCTCCCTTCTTTTTCCTTCCTTCCTCCCTTCCTCTCATTCCCACCTTCCTCACATTTCCATCTCCTTCCTTCCTTCCTCTCATTCCCACCTTCCTCACATTTCCATCTCCTTCCTTCCCTCCATTCTTCTTCCTTCCTTCCTTCCTCTCATTCCCACCTTCCTCTCATTTCCATCTCCTTCCTTCCCTCCCTTCTTTTTCCTTCCTTCCTCCCTCCCTCCCTTCCTCTCATTCCCACCTTCCTCACATTTCCATCTCCTTCCTTCCTCTCATTCCCACCTTCCTCACATTTCCATCTCCCTCCTTCCTTCCCTCTATTCTTCTTCCTTCCATTCCCACCTTCCTCTCATTTCCATCTCCTTCCTTCCTTCTCTCCGTTCTTCCTTCCTTCCTCTCATTCCCACCTTCCTCACATTTCCATCTCCTTCCTTCCTTCCCTCCTTCCTTCCTTCCTCTCATTCCCACCTTCCTCTCATTTCCATCTCCTTCCTTCCTTCCTTCCTTCCTTCCTTCCTTCCTTCCTTCCTTCCTTCCTTCCTTCCTTCCTTCCTTCCTTCCTATGCCTGAGGTGCCTGGGACTGCATCGTCCTCAGCCCTCTGGCTTTTCCAAACATGCGAAGGGAGACGTGCCAATCCCTATCGGGACGGTCCTGCTTCCAACTTCTCCAAACCGTGTGATGATGGGGCCACAACACGGCTGAGAAACAGCTATTATTGAGTTGCTGTGGGTGGGTGCTGAAAATGGTGCCTACTGAAATTGTGTCTTGTCTCCAACCAGTCCAGACGGACGTGCGACTCCGGGACTCTTCATTTTGCTGTAAGTTATGAGAAGCCGGGCAAAGTTGGAATTGTCGTCCAATCTTGCCTGCATAGAGGCGAGCTATTTCCTCACTCCGGAGGCTTCGTCTTGCAAGGAATATTAGCTCAAATCTTTTCTGATAAACGGCTCGTGATCCGTCTCCGCAGCCCCAGGAGAGAGAAAAAGGCGACTCGTCTCTCTTTTTTTTAATTTCCTTTTTGGTGGCACTGTTTGTGCCTTGTCTGGAGTGGGGGGTGGGGGAGCCCAAATCCAGAGATGGTTATCTGGGAAGACTTGAGAAGACTGCATTGACGAAAAGGGATGGGCTATAACCGAAGTCAGAGTAATATGTTTTAATACATTTGGTCATCATAAAAAAAAAAGTTTTGGTTGTGCGTGATTCTTCGTGTAAGTCTGTTCCCAATTCAATGGCAAAGAGGCCAACCTGAAGCTCCGAACAGACCAATTTTTTTTTTTAATTTTTTTGCAAAATCTGGGCCAGATGGATCCAAACGTTTCTGGAGTTCCAAGCTGGCAGGATGCCAAGCAGGGAGGCAGAAAAGTCAGCCTCTTCCCCAGGCAATGTGTACATTGGGGACAACGTTATGGGAATGTGGCATGATGTCACCCTGGCATTTTTTTCCCCAAGCAGGCAGTCCCCCAATGTGAGGCAAAGAGTCTGCGAAATAGAGGGATGTCATGCATGTGATGGTGACATTGCCTTGATGCCATCGTGGCAGCAATACCATCTTTTGAACCAAAGCTTGGAAGTCCCAATGTTTGGAAGAAGCAAGGAAGTGAACTATAGGAGTCAATGAAGAGGAAGAGGAAGTGTTCTGAACTACGCTTCCCTAGAAAGTAACAGTACAAACTTAGTCCCGGCAAACCTCTTTAATTCATACGGCTGTAAATTATTTTTATTTACAGTCCGCAAGGCTTGATAAACAGTCTTTCAGAGGAAGGTTATCAACACCCCACCTATCTCACATGGAACGCTGCCAAGAGAGCTCATTTCCAGACGCAGGGCGAGGCCAAACTTGGTACAGAGTCACAAACAAGTTTCAAATCTTGAATCGGCCAGATGAACTAATTGCTTCCTGCAAAACCTCACGTCCCGTTTGCTTCTCTTTTATGTCTTATGGGAGGGGCCAATCATCTCCAAGCCTTACTTCCAAGTCGATCCTGTTTCCTTAATTGTTCCTGTCTCTTGGCAGCTCTGTGCATGCGCACACTGGGAACAGGCTCACGCTGTTCTTCTGCCTCGCTGATGTCAAACTCCGGAGACTCCAGAGGCAGCAAAGAACTACCAGATGGCCTTGGCCCCCTCTCTGCCTCCGATGCAGAGCCCTTGTCTGAGCCTTGCCCAGACTCCAAGACTGGCCCACGTTCCTCCCCAACCTCCTCACTGTCCGAATTTGCTTTCAGCTCTGCTGGCTGCTGGCGGGCCACAAAAGCAAGGGATGTCATGAACATAGCAATGACATCAACTGATGCCATCATGAGATCAATACAGTCTTCGTTTTGCAAAATTAGGAGGTCCCCAAAGTTCAGGAGAAAGCAAAGAATTAAAATAGAAGGGTCTATGAAAGTAGGAGACAGGAATGTCGGTGCACATTGTGTTGACAACATCTTGATGCCATCAAAACATTAACAAGGTCTAGGGAGGCCACCAACTGTTGTGACCCAGGCCCAAGTAGTTAGTATTAAATCCAAAACAAACAGACTTTATTAGAACAGCTGAGAATTAACTCATTCTCAGCGTAGTCCAAACTAAATTAAAACTAATTCTTCAAAACACCATTCCTCAGTTTATCACTGACCTTGGGATAATTAGGCAAACTGCCAACGGCTTTTCTTGGCAAAAGTTCAAGAAGCAGAAGACGCTGACAAGAAATGAATACAGTGAAACAAGAAGCAAATCTCTCAACGTTGTTTTCCGGCAAACAGGCCAAGAGCCGTTGCTGGTCTTTTAAGCCTTATGGGAGGGGCCAATCATCTCTTGGCCTTACTCCTCAGTCGTCCTCTCTGCTTTATCTGCTCCTGCCTTCTGGCAGCTCTTCTCATACGTGCACTAGGAACAGGCTCCTCCTGTTCCTCTGCCTCTCTACTGTCAGCCTCTGGAGGCTCCAGAATCCGCACATCACTCCCCGATGGCCCTGGCCCCATCTCTGCCTCTGACGCAGAGTCCTCATCCGGCCGTCCCCAGCCTCCAGGACTGGCCCATGTTTTTCCTCAGCCTCATCGCTGTCCAACTCCGCTGCCAGCTCTGCAGGCTGCAGGCGGACCATAACCCCAACCTTCAGGAGAAACAGGGAAGCAAACTATAGGGTTCTACAGAACGGTGGAGCCAGGGATGTCATGCACATTGCAGTGAAATCATTTGATGCCATCACGCCATCCACACCATCTCCCCCCCCCAAACAATGGAGGCCTCCAATGTTCAGGAGATCCAGGCAAGCAAATCATAATTTCTTTCTTAGTTTCTCCTGAACGTTGTGGATCTGCTAGCTTTGGTGAAAAAAAAGGTAGCCTTGATGTTTTGGTGGCCTCAGATGATGTCAACACAAAGATAGCATCCACAGCCTGCCGTGTTCTCATAATGGCATAAGAATATCGTTGGAGTCATATATTTAAGTCCGAGGACAGACTATCTCAGGTTTTGCACTTGTGACTCTTTCTGGTGGTTCTTTCTGCTGACGGCTCTTCTTTGTTTTTCCCTCTGCATAAAAAGAATCAGGCAGAAGGTTTACAGATTACAGAATGGCAGAGTTGGAAGGGACCTTGTAGGTCATCTAGTCCAACCCCACCCAAGCAGGAGACCCTACACCATTTCTGACAGATGGCAGCCCAGTCTCTTCTTGAAAGCCTCCAGGGATGAAGCTCCCACAACTTCTGAAGGCAACTTCTGTTCCATGGGTTGATTGTTCTCACTGTCTTATTTCTAGGTTGAATCTCTCCTTGATCAGTTTCCATCCATTATTCCTTGTCTGGCCTTCGGGTGCTTCGGAAAATATCTTGACCCCCTCCTCTCTGTGGCAGCCCCTCAAATATTGGAACACTGCTATCCTGTCTCCCCTGGTCCTTCTCTTCACTAGACTAGCCATGCCCAGTTCCTGCAACCGTTCATCATATGTTTGAGCCTCCAATCCCCTAATCATCCTGGTTGCTCTTCTCTGCACTCTTTCTACAGTCTCAACATCTTTTTTATAGTGTGGTGACCAAAACTGGATGCCGTATTCCAGATGTGGTCTTGATTTAGCTGATATTAGAAATGTTGGGCACATGAGACAAGTTGGAACTGTGATTGGCTTCTGCTTTTGATCCTAGGGCGTTAACCCGAAAATGAAAGGGAACAGAGTCTAAATATTTATCTGCATGTTCAAACAGTTCTTTGGAAAGGGTAGCTCAGTTGGGCAGCCTGAAGGAAGGCAATTCTGGTTTTTTGATGGAGGGGAGGTTGGTTTTCATCCACCATTAGACATGCTCAGGAGCATAGGACTGTTTTTGGCACGAGGTAATCTTCGACTTACAACAGTTTGTTTAGTGGCCAGTTATGATAGCACTGAAGTTACAACTTAGGACTATTTTCCACACTTATGACCGTTGGAGCATCCCCGCAGTCATGTGATCAAAATTCAGACGCTTTGCAACTGGCTCATATTTATGACAGTGACAGTAACCCAGGGTCCTGTGATCTCCCTTTGTGACCTTATGACAAGCAAAGACAAAGGGGAAAAAACCAGATTCGCTCAATGACTATGTTGCTGATTTAGCAACTGCAGTTATTGACTTAACAACGGTGGCAAGAAGGGCCGTAAAATGGGTCAAAGCTCAACAACTGTTTTACTTAGCAACAGAACTAAGTGACATTGGGCTCAATTGTGGTTGTAAGTTGACGACTATAATTATGCAGATAGAATCAGGTTGATTATTGAGTAGGCCTGAAAACTATTCATGACTTCATAAAGGTTTTCTTTTTTTTTTTTTTTTTGGTATCTCTATGTGTGGGATGGAAGAGGGATACAAATCTTCAAGATTGGCCATTATTCCCAGCAAAGACAGGTATCATTCTACATGCCGACGACTAAAGTCTTTTCAAGAATGAGAAGGACAGATTTTAACGATCAACAATTTGCCGACAAGAGCCTTGGTAGTACAGTGGTCTAAGACACCCTGTTATTAAGCTGGTTATTAAGACCAGCTGCCTGCAATTATTGCAGGTTCGAATCTCGCCAAGGCTCAAGGTTGACTCAGCCTTCCATCCTTTCAAAGGTAGGTAAATTGAGGACCCAGTTTGTGGGGGCAATAAGCTGACTTTGTATAAATATACAAAAGAATGAAGGCTATTGCTTAGCGCATTGTAAGCCGCCCTGAGTCTCCGGAGAAGGGCGGCATATAAATAAAAAAAAAAAGATTCACCCATCTCACTCAATCCTTAGCGAACCCCGTTAGGTTTTTCGGATCGGAGGTACGAAATCAGGCCGTACAAATTTGACTTCACAACGTCGGCCTTTAAATCTGTCTCTGGCTTCGTGCCAGGGTCAACCCTGGTCATCGTAACTCATCCCCACCACCACAAAGCGCGGTTCAAGCCAAAACCCCAAGCCAACCCTTGCCGGACTCTTTAAGGGACCTCTTCAGAACTGGCGGCAAGCGGAAGGATCTAAGGTGGTTTGGGGGGCCTTCCTTTCCCTCGGCACTCTAGGAAAATCAAACCTTTAGGAAAGCCGCAAGCTGGGAAATCGAGTGAAGAAAAGTAGAAAGGCGCCTATGGGGGCATGCGTTTTTCGAGCGCCTTCGTTTCAGCACCTGGACAGCTCCCGTAGCCAGGCTCCCGTCTTTCCAAGCCTCTTCCCTTGGCCAACTTGTTCTTCATCCGTTTGTCTCCTCCCTTGGTCCTTCCCCAAGCCTTCCGTGGCTCGCGTGTCCCATCCTCCGTGTTTCCTTCCCCCCCACCACCTTTTCTTTTCCAGCGTCCCCACCCCCACCCCAGGGCTCCTTGAAGGCTCCAAGCTTAAAACACACAAGCAGGTGGGGAGGCGACGTGGAGAAAGAGAAAAAAAGGGGGGGATAGGTGGGTGGGAAGGGAAGGAAGGAAAGGCTTGGCTCTCCAAAGACGCCCCCCCCCCGCTCTTCGATCGCCGAGCCTTGGAGAAGGGGCGGATCCTTCCTCTCCCTTCCCCGTTATTGATATGGGGCTTCGTTGGGTACCCTTTGCGGAGTCGGGTGGAGCTGGCATCGCTGATTGGCTTCCCGATCGTCAGCTGGCTCTGTGCATTTTTTATTTTTTTTTGCATATTTTTTTTTTTTTTTTTTTGGAAGGGGCGAGGTTCACTAACCGGTTGCTTTTGACGTTTGCATTTCGCTTTCTCCAAGGCTGTCGGCGACGACCCCCTCTCCCTACCCAGCCAGCCAGCCAGCCGCCCCCGTCCCCGGCCAGGAGAAAAGCCTTGGGAACCCGGAGCAGAAGAGCATCTCTCGTAACCTCAGGAAACAGGAGGAAGAAGGAGAAGAAGAAGAAGAGAGAGGCCCACGCAAGCTAAGTAGCTTCCCAACCCCTTCTGGATCTCCCTTCGCCAGTCTCTGCGGCTCGCCCCCCAGCTCCGGCGGGGGGAGCCCGGCTGCCTTCTTGGCGTGCCGCGCCATGCTGGGGTGGAGGAAAAGAGGCTCCCGGGTGGGAAGTTGATGCGGCTCGGCTCGGCTTCCAGCCGGAGCTGGGAGACCCCAGCCTCGCCTCCGCCTTGGGCGCTTGGCGGCCTCGCCGAGCCTCGCCCCTGAGCGGCGGCGGCGGCGGCGCCTTGAATCTTCCCCGCCGCCGCTTCCAGAGCCGAGCCGCAGCCCGCCCGCCCTCCTTCGCCACCACCAGCCAGAGGAGCAGCAACAGCAGCAGCAGAGCCCCGCCGCCAGCGCTACCACCAGAAGCCCAGGCTTCCTCCCTCCCTCCTGGCGCTGGGATGCGTCTTTGCAGCTCGGAGGGCCAGCACCGCGCGCTTGGAGAAGGGGCACCAGCATGGCTCGCTTCGGAGAGGACCTGCCCAGCCGCTATGGAGGTGGCGGCGCGGGGGCTCCCCCGGGGCCCGGCGGGGCCCGCGGCAGCAGCCGCCAGGGACCCCCGGGACAACCGGGACCTCCGCGGCCCCAGATGTACAAGCAGACCAAGGCCCAGAGGGCCCGGACAATGGCTCTTTACAACCCCATTCCGGTCAAACAGAATTGTTTCACAGTCAACCGTTCCCTCTTCATCTTCAGCGAGGACAACGTGATCCGCAAATACGCCAAGCGCATCACGGAGTGGCCATATCCTTGCCGGAGCTGGGATCGTGGGGGTGGGGATGGGTGGGGAGGGGGAGCTCGGGGTTCTACACACACACACACACACACAATCACACACACACACACAATCACACACTCACACACACACGCATGCACGCCCCTTCTCTGCATCCCTGGGACCATCCCTCCTTCCTCCCTCCCACCCACCCCCCATGGGACGCGCGTGGATGTGGGAAAGGAGGGCCACTGTCTCTTTCCTGGGTGTGGGCAGGAGGGCTCCAGCTTTGGGGATGGGCGTGTCGGCATGCTGGCCCCGAGGGGACCCTTCTAATCCGTGGCAGGCAGCTAAAGGGGGGGGGGGGTTCTCCCAAACTTTTGGGGGAAGGGGAGCAGTAGAGATTTCGAGGGGTTTCCGGGAAAAGGGAGGCGGTTTGGGGGGCCGGGAGGTCTCTCCGTCCCTTCTCCAGCCCCTGAGCTGCTTCTGAGTCCCTCTTAGACTAGAAAAAAATCTGCTTTGCTACCTCTTTCTGCTTTGTTTCCTTTGCAAGGAAAGGAGGTGTTTTTTGGGGGGTTGGGGAGAATGCATGGGTGAGTTCCCCCCCCCCTCCCATAGCAGGGTGAGAGGTCTCCACCCCCATTGACCAGAAGTCCACTTTTGATTGTGAGAATTGTTCTCCTAGAGATGCATCTGTTACATGTGGGCTGGGTGTGTTTATGGATGCTCCTGGGAGCTCAGACTTTTAAGAGGTTGCCCAAATGCCTACAGAGTTTCCCTTTTTCCATTCCCACTTGCTGCATTTTTGTTCATCCGTTTGTTACCTCTAGTCTAGGGCGGTTCTGGTTTAGATGTACCCTGTCTGGTTTCCTTCCCCCACCCCCAGCCTTTTCAGAGTATTATTGGATTCCCATTCAACGCCCTGCTGAGGTTTGTTCCTTAGCTCATCCTAGCATGCTAGATCAAGATGATCCAGACAGCTGTCTGATATTTGGAACAGAACAAGAATAAGAGAGTTGGAAGGAAACCTTAGAGGCCTTCTAGTCCAACCCCAATACCATTTCAGACAAGCTCAAGCAGGAAACCCGATAACATTTCAGACAAAAATGGTTCTCTAATCTCTTCTTGGAAACTTCCATTGATAGAGCATTCACAACTTCCGGAGGCAAGTTGTTCCACTGGTTTATTGTCCTCACTGTCAGGAAATTTCTCCTTAGTTCTAGGTTGCTTCTCTCCTTGGTTAGTTTCCATCCGTCGCTTCTTGTCTTGCCCTTCTGGTGTTTCGGAAAATAGATTTTTTTCCCCCTCTTTCTCTCTTGAAAGGAAGAAGCTGTTTTTTAATTTCTCCCTCCTCTGGTGTCAGTTCGACTTTCCCCCGTTTGTTTAGAAAGAGAGGGAAGGGGAGTCTTCCCATTTTTCCCCACTGCTGGCTTACCACCGACAAAAATCCTAAACATTTTTTTTTGTTGTTGTTGTTGTTGCAAAAAATCAATATGCTGCAATCTTACATTTGCCCCTGGTGAGCTACAAGGCGATTTGGGATCTGCTGCTATTGCTAATTGTTTGCAACCTGAGCTTTGTAGCTTCCTAAACCTGGATTTGTGGCTTAATGCAAGGTGGGAACGCAACCAACTAGCCGCCTCAGCCGAAGAAACCTATGCGCAAACAAGCCACTTTGTTACGGGAGGCCATCGATTAGGGTTTTGTAAGCCGTGGTTTGTGTCTTGGTAGGATTTGCACTTTCTGTCCATGGTGGCTTAATCAACGGTCCGAACAGATCACAATGTTGGCCTGATGGTTAAATTCAGACTTTGTGGGGGGGGGGGGAAGAAGAAGAAATAGAGAGAGGATGGAGAAAGATGATCTCCTTAAATTGGCCGCATCCTAACCATAAAACATATTCCCGTTTGAAATTGGATGCGTGGGAATATCCCATTTAATAGCTAATTCAGAGACTGGCTGGTATTTTTGACCTGTGAGGATTATTATCCTTGGCAAATCTGTATTACTCAAACCAGAGTAATGTTAAATATCTCAGAAGTATTTCCCCTTAAAAAAAAAAAGACTCTTTTTTTCCTACCTCCTACTCAGCAGGCTTGAGAATTTCTGCCCAATTTCTCTGGCTGGCATTTTTTTTAAAAAAAAATTTATTTTAGTACCATTTTGATCGGATCTTATTGCTTGTGGATGGTGGCGTTGTCGGTTGTGGTTTTCATCCATTGCAGCCTCCCTGGCTCCACCCTTCCACCCGATCTAAACACAGGCCATCCTTGTCTTACAACCACCACGGAGAACAACCTTTCCGTCGTTAAGCGAGATGGTTGCGAAGCGAGCTTTGCCCTGTTTTACGACCTTTCTTGCTCCGGCGGTGAAAGGAAGCGCTGCCGTTGTTAAGTGAGGAACCAGGTTGTGAAGTGAATCTGGCTTTCCCCCCGTGGGCTTGGCTTGCCGGACGGTCGCAAAAGGGGAAATCATGTGACTTCCTGGACGCAGCAACCGTCATAAACACAAACTAGTTGCCAAGCATCCGAAGGTTGGCCGTGGGGGATGCTGCAATGGTTTGAAATGTGAAAAAATGGCGATGAGTCGCTTTCTTTTCATGGCCGCTGTCCCTTTGAGCAGTCAGTAAATGAACGGTTGTTAAGTCAAGGACTACTTGTGACTATGAGCCTGACTAGGTGGCTCAGTGACTAAGACGCTGAGCTTGTCAATCAAAAAAGGTCAGCGGTTCGAATCCCTAGTACAGGGCTCCTGCGTGAGCAGGAGGCTGGACTAGATGACCTCCAAGATCCCTTCCAACTCTGTTACTGTTAAATTGTACAGCTTTAAGACAGACTTTTCTTTTTTTTCTTAAGCCTTGGGGGTTGAATGGAAAAACCAAGGACTCTCCAGATAGCCCAAAGAGGGGTTTGTTTGTCCCCAACCTTTTGATCTTGCCTGCTTTTCCTAATCTGAGGAATCTCCCTTCTTCAAATCTTTAAATCGAAAGCAGGAGTCAGCAACCTGTGGCTCTGGAGCCGCATGTGGCTCTTTCACCCCTCTGCTGCGGCTCCCTGGCACTCTAAATATGCGTCACAACTGCCAATGTGCGACACGCGATTTATTGAGTTTTTCAACCCCCGGTAGGCCAACCATGGATAAATCCAAGAAAAGAAAAGTTTCAAAAGAAAACAGAACGTTGAATTCAACTACATAGGCTAGTTTTGTGGCCGCTCAAGAAATAGTCAGGCACGGGAAGGGTTTTGTGGCTCCCGGTGTTTTCTTTTCTGTGGGAAATGGCTCCAAATGGCTCTTTTGAGTGTTTAAGGTTGCAGGCCCCTGATCTAAAGGAAGGACGCGCAGCCAGAGAAACTGCAGAATTTTTCAATGAAAGGCGGAGCGACCTACCGTACTTAATTCTTGTCTCCCCCCCTCACTGGATAAACGCAAAGCTTTTCTCACGTTCCCCTTAAGCCTTTCACAGAGATTCATCCCTCCTTTTGACACCCATTTTCAATCCAGACGCTTCTTCGTTGGGCGCCAAGAGAAAAATGCCTGCATTTATCTTTCTGCCTGGCTGGATTTTGGACAGAGGAAGGAGTTGAAATGGTCAACCCCCCCCCCCCCATTTCTCTTAGCTAGCCAGTTTTGGAGCCCGCCCACTCCTTTACGAAGGAGGGCAGAAGTTGGTCTTATTGAAGTCAAAATTTTGGTCACCGTACTACAAAAAAAAAAAAAAGATGTTGAGACTTTGGAAAAAGTGCAGAGAAGAGCAACCGAGTTGATCAAAGGCCTGGAGACTAAAACAATATGAAGAAGGGCTGCAGGACTTGGGTTGGGCTAGCTAGTCTAAAGAAAAGAAGAATTAGGAGCGACGTGATAGGAATCTTCCAGTATTTGAGGGGCTGCCACAAAGAAGAAGGGAGTCAAATATTCTCCAGAGCATCTGAAGGCAGGACAAGACATCCAACAATGGATGGAAACCAATTAAGGAGAGAAGCAACCTAGAACTAAGGAGAAACTTCCTAACGGCGAAAACAATAAAGCAGTGGAACAGTTTGCTTCCAGAAGTTGTGGGCGCTCCATAACTGGAGGTTTTCAAGAAGAGACAAGACAGTCATTTATCTCAAATGATATAGGTTCTCCTCCTTGAGCAGGGGGCTGGACTAGAAGACCTCCAAGGTCCCTTCCAGCTTATTCTGTTCTGTTCTATTCTATTCTATTCTGTTCTGTTCTTATTGTTTGTTCTATTCTATTCTATTCTATTCTATTCTATTCTATTCTATTCTATTCTATTCTTATTGTTTGTTCTATTCTATTCTATTCTAATTGCTTGTTCTATTCTATTCTATTCTATTCTAATTGCTTGTTCTATTCTATTCTATTCTATTCTTATTGCTTGTTCTATTCTATTCTATTCTTATTGCTTGTTCTATTCTATTCTATTCTATTCTATTCTATTCTATTTTTATTGCTTGTTCTATTCTATTTATTCTATTCTTATTGCTTGTTCTATTCTATTCTATTCTATTCTATTCTATTCTATTCTTATTGCTTGTTCTATTCTATTCTATTTTATTCTATTCTATTCTATTCTATTCTATTCTTATTGCTTGTTCTATTCTATTCTATTCTATTCTATTCTATTCTATTCTATCTATTCTATTCTATTCTATTCTATTCTATTCTATTCTATTCTATTCTGAACTTCCAACTCGGGATTGGGGTTAGGTTGCTAAGGAGAGTCTTTTCTCTCTGTGCGTCGCTTGATCTGTACGTGTAGCACGAAGCAATTCCCCAGGAGGGGCCTGTTGTTTTTCCTTTGATCTGAAATCACCGAGATAATAATTCTCTCGCCCAACGAGCAACAGGCTTTTCCTCTTAACAACCTAGTGCGGTTGCAGGTTGCGTTGTCCTTTCTTACCCAGCTGAAACACTGGGGATATAAGTGAGCTCGAGAAAGCAGAGCTGAGCCAGCTAGAATTCACAACAGCTAAAAGGATGGTCGAAGGAAAAAAAAAAAAAAAACCAGTAGAAACATATCTATGGAGATTCTCAGTCATCCAAGTCAGGATTGTCCCCGAAGTGCTTTTTCAAAGAGGCAACTGGACTTGCTTGGTTTTTCTTTGAAGACGTTTCGCTTCTCATCCAAGAAGCTTCTTCAGCTCTGACTTCGTTGGCATGGAATTTTTATTCCTTGCGGACAGCTGGTTACTTGCATTCTTTTAGAGCAGTGGTTCTCAACCTTCCTAATGCCGCGACCCTTTAATACAGTTCCTCATGTTGTGGTGACCCCCAACCATAAAATTATTCCTAAAACCATCGAAAATATGTCTTCCAATGGTCATAGGCGACCCCTGTGAAAGGGTCATTCGACCCCCAAAGGGGTCCCGACCCACAGGTTGAGAACCACTGTTTTAGAGGATACAGATAAACCTCCAAGTGGCCTCAAGGACTCTCTAAAAGGATGCAAATGACCAGCTGTCTGGAAGGAATATAAAATCCTTCCATTCCCCACCATCCGGTCAGAGCTGAAGAAGCTTCTTGGATGAGAAGCGAAACATCAAAGAGGAGGGGAAGATATCAGAGAACCGAAAAAGCTTCTTGGATGAGAAGCGAAAACGCCTTCAAAGAAAAACCAGAAAGTCCAGTTGCCTCTTTGAAAAAGCGCTTCTGGGACAAGAGTAAGGATAGGTTCCAAAATGGCTTCAGCCGATTTTGAAGCAGGATGAAATTTAAGATCTCACAGCAACGAGAACAGTCCATGTTGCAAAATTGTCTGTGGGAACTCTTCTCTTTTTAGAGAGGATGAATGGGGAAAGCACAAACTGGTTGGATAATCCGGACAATATCGAATCAATAGAGTAGAAGTCGGGGTTAGACAGAGAGCAAGGAGACATAGAATGGAATGGAATGGAATGGAATGGAATAGAATAGAATAGAATAGAATAGAATAGAATAGAATAGAATGGAATGGAATGGAATGGAATGGAATGGAATGGAATGGAATGGAATGGAATGGAATAGAATAGAATAGAATAGAATAGAATAGAATAGAATAGAATAGAATAGAACAGGGTTGGAAGGGACCTTGGAGGTCTTCTAGTCCAACCCCCTCCTTAGGCAGGAAACCCTACACCACTTCAGACAAATGGGTATCCAATCTCTTCTTAAAAACTTCCAGTTTTTAGAGCATTTACAACTTCTGGAGGCCAGTTGTTCCACTGGTTAATTGTTCTCGCTGTCAGGAAATTTCTCCTTAGTTCTAGGTTGCTTCTCGCCTTGATGAGTTTCCACCCATCGCTTCTTGTCCTACCCTCAGGAACTTTGGAGAATAGCTTGACTCCCTCTTCTTTGTGGCAGCCCCTGAGATATCGGAAGACTGCTATCATGTCACCCCTGGTCCTTCTTTTCATTAAATGTTCTCCTTGGTTGTCTTCTGCTCTCTGCTCATCTGCTTGAAGTCCCATGGGGTTCCATGTTGGAATGTTCTACCTGGACAAGAAGGTCCATTGGAAAAACCATTGCTTTCCCCTCTTATGAAATTGATCTTCTCTCCAAGTTGGATCAGAAATGGAGGACTTTTTTCTCCAAGCTTCACGGGCTTAATTTTATGCTGTGTTTTTGACACGGAGGCCTTTGCGTAGTGAGTTCAGAATAGGAACTCAAAACGGTGGGAATTTCTTCTCAGAGCCCGTAGAACAAACTTAGGCCTGTGAGAAATGAACGTGGCGATTGTGGTTTGTAAGTCACGATCATTACTAGATGTTGTCCGTGTGATCATATTTGTGTGTGTTGGGTGAATCCGGCCACTTCTGGCTCACTTCCAAAACCGAGGGGGGAAAAGATGTTAAACAAATCAAGATTTAAAAGGAGCTCGAAGCTTGGTTAACTTGTTCTCGTGTTCCGCTACTACCTAACTTTCATAAAGAATGTTGGACAGGTTGATGCCTTTCCACAGCTTGTAAACTTGGAAGAATTTGCTTTTAATTGCTCATATTATCCATCAGTTATCAGCTTGCGAAGATGATCTCTGAGAACAAACCTGGTGAGAATTTAGAGGTTTTAGAATTTTGGAGAGGGCAGACCACGTTAAGTAAAATCCCACCTTAATTTAATAATAACCTTGACGATCACTAAGTGTTGTATCTTTTTATTCTCGACGAATGTATTTTATTCTCCTTATGTACACTGAGAGCATATGCACCAAAGACAAATTCCCTGTGTGTCCAATCACACTTGGCCTATAAAGAATTCTATTCTATTCCATATAATATAATAGCTGCAGGAGAAACTTTTGATCACTCCTTTTATTGGCTTAATCAGCCAAGAGATCCTGAACAATCAAAAGAAGATTCTCTTCTTTTTTTCCCCTTCTTCTTCGCTCTTCTCCAAAGCAGAGAAAACCTCCTGCTTGATTAGACAAGACCTTTATTTGAAGTAATCAATTAGAGGCTAACAGTAAACTTTTATATGTACTTCGTCTTTAGAATGGATTTGAGAAAATCGGAATCATTGATCGAGATTCAGTATGGGAAAAATGAATGCTGCTGGTGCCGTTATTAACATTATGAGTTTTTTCCTTAACTGTTGCCTTCACTCCATTTGAATATATGATTCTGGCTACGATTATAGCCAATTGCATTGTTTTGGCTCTGGAGCAACATCTCCCTGATGGAGATAAGACACCTATGTCAGAGAGGCTGGTGAGTATCAGCTGTTTTCCTTCCTTCCTTCCTTCCTTCCTTCCTTCCTTCCTTCCTTCCTTCCCTTCCTTCCTTCCTTCCTTCCTTCCTTCCTTCTCCCTGCCTCCCTGCCTCCCTTTTTTTTCTTTCTTTCTTTCTTTCTTTCTTTCTTTCTTTCTTTCTTTCTTTCTTTCTTTCTTTCTTTCTTTCCTTCCTTCCTTCCTTCCTTCCTTCCTTCCTTCTTCCTTCCTTCCTTCCTTCCTTCCTTCCTTCTCCTGCCTCCCTGCCTCCCCTTTTTTTCTTTCTTTCTTTCTTCTTTCTTTCTTTCTTTCCTTCCTTCCTTCCTTCCTTCCTTCCTCCTTCCTCCTCCTTCCTTCCTTCCTTCCTTCCTTCCTTCCTTCCTTCTGAATAAAAAGCAAACAGTGCAGGCACCCTTGGCCACTGTAGCAATTGACAAAGAACAAGATAATCTGAGAATGAAGTATTACACTGAGAACGTAGGCACTTCTATTCACTTCCATTCCATTCCATTCCATTCTGAGCTGTGGTGGCGCAGTGGTTAGAATGCAGCATTGCAGGCTAATTCTGCCGACTGCCAGGGGTTCGATCCTCACTGGCTCAAGCACTGTGAAGTGGTATATAAGTCTAATTGCTAATTCTATTCCATTCCATTCCTTCTCTTGTTCTATTCTATTCTATTCTATTCTATTCTATTCTATTCTATTCTATTCTATTCTATTCTATTCTATTCTATTCTATTCTATTCTATTCTATTCTATTCTATTCCATTCCATTCCATTCCATTCCATTCCATTCCACCCCACCCCATTTTTTTTGGGGCCAATCTATAGACTGGTAACATTGCTGTCCTTTTCTTCCTCCTTCCCAGGATGACACCGAACCGTATTTCATTGGAATATTCTGCTTCGAAGCGGGCATCAAGATTATTGCTCTGGGTTTTGTTTTTCACAAAGGATCTTATCTCCGCAACGGCTGGAACGTGATGGATTTTGTGGTTGTGCTTACGGGGTAAGTCACTTTTCTTTCTCTCTCTCTCCCTGCTCCTCCACCCCTCTCTCTTTCGTTTCTCTCTCTCTCTCTCTCTCTCTCTCTCTTTCCTTAATGAAATTTGGTGATGGCGTTTATGTGCATCAAAGGAAGGACGGGAAGAGATTAGATGGTTGCAGTGAAGCTACAAGCTCCGTTTAGACAGCTTCGCTTTTGAAAAGAAGTGCGAATTGTCACCGAGAACGTCGAAGTACTTTGGTATCCGTTGACGGGGGCACTTAAGGCGAGCTGATGCCGCTCGCTCAAGACAAAAAAAGGACGGTTATGATTATTATTTTTTGTAACACGCTCTCTATTGAATGCGACAGGACGGCTTGGTAACGAGGAAATCGTAATGAGGAGGGGGGGGGGAACCCTGTCATTCCTTAAACCGAGCCCTTTCATTTTTCCCTGGCGAAAATGGACCTGGCGTTGGCAATGCTCTCGTGTCCAAACGAGCAGAGGCTCTGAAGGATAAGGAGAAAAACGGGGATGAGGTTGGTTATGGGAAACGCGGCCAACCCTCGACTTTACGACGGTTCATTGAGTGACCATTCAAAGGGTCTACAGCACTGGATAAGGTGACTTACGACCAGTGATGGGATTCAATTAATTGAACAGGTGGTTCTCTGCCTTAATGACTGGCTGGGTGGGCGTGGCCAAGGTGGGCGTGGCCAGGGGTGTGTGACAGGCAGCACTTGGGCTCCTGCACCCGCCTTGAGAGTGAAAACGGGCCATGGGGGGGTGCACCCCATTTTGGGCCTAGGAGGCCTCTCTGAAGCCCTCCCGTGCCCCGTTTAGGGCCTAGGAGGCCTCCCTACCTCCTAGGTTGTATGTTATTATCTTATTTTACTGTGCCAAAAAGAGTTGGGAATTGAAGGTTTTTTTTTTCCTTCTTCTCCTCTCCTTTACCTTTTACTTCTTCCTCTTCCCCCTTTCCTCCCCTATTTTCCCCTCATTTTCCTGTTTTTTTTTCCTTTGTATCTCTGTATTTGATCTTTCAATCAACTAATTAAAAAAAGATGTGTAAGAAGCAAAATGGATCCTTTACGCCCATAAATGTATTGGGCCAAAAAGAAAGGTTGCAAATTAACAGGGAAGCTCCAAAGCTTAACCTCTATCAAATAGATAGACGAAAATGTGGGTATGACACCATCTTTTGAGGACCCAAATTGTTGGGGGCAAGAGGCTGATTCTGTAAACTGCTTAGGGAGGGCTGTAAAGGCCTGTGAAGCACTATATAAGTCTAAGGGCTTTTGCTATTGCTATATTCCTTTGTATGCTGTTTTCTCCGGTTTGGTGCCTTTGAATAACACTTGACTTTTGGTGAACAAGTATCCTAACGGTTTTCTTTGGAAAAAGATTTGGCTTGTCTTTTCCTTCTGATAAGGTGCAATTGGCCTCAAATCATCTGCCAGACATGACATCCAAGGCGCAGAACTAGAATTCACAGTCTTCCAGTCTCTAGCCTGGTGATGTTGTGGCCCCCCAAGCAGCTGAATCAGAGGAGGAGAAATAGGCGTGGGAATCAGGGTCAGCATCAGGGCAACCTGGGAGCTCCGAGGGGGAAGAGAGAATGGAGCTGGCAGAGAGAGAGAGAGAGAGAGGTGGAGCCTGGACTGTCCATCAGTCCTCAGATGGAGAGTCAATAGCCCCCAGGTCTGGAGGTGGCTGATGATGAAGAGGAGGAACAGATGGGTCCAGTGCCTGATGCATAGATGCACAGAAGGCAGAGGAGAGGAGAGCAGTGGAAATCTATGGGCCGGTCCTTGAGAAGGAAGAACCACAGCTGCTAGCGAAGCCCCACCCTAGCTCTGGGGATAAAAGGCAGGAGGCAGAGAGGAATAGATGTGGCAGACAATTATTCATCTCCTCCTGGACAGACTTGTTAGCCTGCTTTGAGAGAGAAACTTTTTGCCGGGGCTGCCGGCGCTCCTAATAAAGGAATCTTTGAGTTAACTTCAGAGGGTTTGTCCTGTTTGGGGAGCTGGGTCAGAGCAGGGGCTTTGAACCTCTGTACCAACCCAGCTCCTTTGGATTCCTACCCTTCAATCGAATAGATTTCCCAGGTGTGCTTGTGGTCACCAGGAAGTCTGCATTTTGGCCTGGTTTGGGTGAAGCCGCACCCTTCATTGCATTCAAATGAAAAGCAGGTAATCCATCCGATAAAGGAATAAATGAAATCTATCCGGACGCCTGAAAACTCACTCATCCAACCAACCAGGTCAACGTTCCCCATGGAAAATGTACCTTCTTCTTCTTTGTTTTCTACAAAGTCAAAAGTTTACCCGCATTTGCAGAATCACGGACCAGGATGGGATGTTAATACTGTATTTCTCCGAAAATAAGACCCTGTCTTATGTTTTTTTTGAATCCCGAAATAAGCACTTGGCTTTATTTTCTGGAAGATCTTATTATTTTGGGGCGCGTGGAGCAAGATGGGCTCCTCTTGCCATCTTACCTGATTTTCCAGTTCTGTCTCCCTAACCCTAACCAGAGGAAATGGTGGGTACCGGCTGCGCATGTGTTTAAATATTTTCAGAGAGGGCTTATTTTCAGGGGAGGTCTTATTTTCAGGGATGGGGCTTATTTTAGCGCATGCAATCAAAAGCCCAACTGGCCTTATTATCAGGGGAGGTCTTATTTTCGGGGAAACACGGTAATAGAAAGGTGTGTGATGTGGGCCATTCGGATGTTGTTTTTTCTACCCTTGCCTGGGCAATCTTAAAAGTGTTTTTGATCAAAGGTAGAAATGCACCGAGCTTGATTAGGCGGCTGGCATAAGAAATCCAGCCTCTGCATTGCTGATGATACGAGTATTCCTTTGAAGTACAAGTCGGTTAATGTCAGGATATTTGCGTCTCCTGGCGCCTCTCGCTGGGTTGCATTGAAATTGTCTTGTAGACGAGGTTCCCGCTAAGGAACCAGTGGGAGCAAAACTGCTTCCCTCTTTATCTATTTGTTTATTTATTTTTTGGTGGCTGCTGTGACATTTCTTGACAATGAACCTCCACAGGGAAGAGGTTGTCTGTCAGCGTCGGACTGCTTCCTTTTTTCCAGCTTCGTTCAGATGGAAAAGCGTCAGGAAGCGTCTCCTCGTCCTCTCCTTCCATCACGGAGGAATGGGAGATCTGGAGGCAGAGGGCTTCATCCCACAACTTGGATTGAACCGTTTTGAGTTTGTAAGAGGCGGGCATGGTGTCTGATAGGTTAAGACGGTGGGGCTTGTTGACCAGAAGGTTGGTAGTTTTGAGACCCAAGCACGGCGTGATAGGGTGAGCTCCTGTTCCTGCCTCAACTCCTGCCAATCTAGCATGCAAATGCGAGTAGATAAATAGGTACCACTTTGAAGGATCCTTGGTGCTCTCTGAGCTTGGTTGTTTTCTTGCAGATGTTTCATTATCCAAACTAGCTAATGTCAGAGAGAGAGCAAACCCCATTCTCTTCTAGCACTGATGATGTTCCCTAGCTGGGTAATGAAATGTCTGCAAGTAAACAAGCAAACTCAGAGAGTACCAAGGACCCCATAGTTGTCATCTTCTTCTTCCTCCTCCTCCTCCCTCTCCTCCTCCTCCTCCACAAACCCCACACCCTTCTAGCACTGATGATGTTACCTAGTTTGGATAATGACACGTCTAGAGGAAAACAAACAAGCTCAGAGAGTACCAAAGATCCGATAGTCATCTTCCTCCTCCTCTTCCTCTTCCTCCTCCTCTTCCAACCTCACTCCCTTCTAGCACTGATAATGTTACATAGTTTGGTGAATGAAATGCCTGCAAGAAAACCACCAAGCTCAGAGAGCGCCAAGGACGCTTCATTTCAACCCTGAGCTACAAATATTCTCCTTTGTAGATACCACCTTGGTGGGAAGGTAACAACGTTCTGTGCTCCTCAGCATATAAATCATGCCAGCTACATGACTGCAGAAAAGAAGCTTGAACAATGATTTGCCCTACGGCCTAGATAGTATGAGGATTCCTTCCTTGGACAGGAGGTTGGACTAGAAGACCTTCAAGGACCCTTCCAAACCTATGATTCTATGATCTCATCATAACTTAGTTTTGATGGAGATCTAAGGCCTAAGCCACTAGCCTTACAAAGCTAGTGACATGCAGCCAGATCTCAGGAGGAGGCAAAGGGAAGTCCGACTCAATTCTTTTCCATTCACTTCTCTACCTCTATCTCTTAGGTAAAGGTAAAGGTTCCCCTCGCACATATGTGCTAGTCGTTCCCAACTCTAGGGGGCGGTGCTCATCTCCGTTTCAAAGCCGAAGAGCCAGCGCTGTCCGAAGACGTCTCTGTGGTCATGTGGCCGGCATGACTCAACACCAAAGGCGCACAGAACGCTGTTCCCTTCCCACCAAAGGTGGTCCCTATTTTTTCTACTTGCATTTTTTTTTTTAGCGTGCTTTCGAATTGCTAGATTGGCAGAAGCTGGGACAAGTCACGGGAGCTCACCCCGTTATGCAGCACTAGGGATTCGAACCGCTGAACTGCCGACCTTTCGATCGACAAGCTCAGCGTCTTAGCCACTGAACCACTGCGTCCCCTTACCCCATCTCTTACTCTCCTCTATCACTTACTCTCCAGTAAAACTGGAAAGATCCAGGAAAATCCTGCTGGAACATTGACTTGGCGGTCTGGTGGCATCAGTTCTAGGCTTTACTAAATATCTCTGCCTGCTTTTAGCACAGGTCTTTGGAAGAAACAGCTAATGTCCATCCCAGCAGGAGGCAGGAATGCAGCAATAAATAAATAAATAAATAAATCTGAAGGTTCTGCAATGGCCTGATTGCTCCTGGTCCCAAAATATGCTTTCAGCTAAATAAATGATCATTATGCAACGCAGCCCAAGGAATAAAAACAGTTCCTTCCATACGAAACCTATTATTTTTTTCCTCCCCCCCACCCACCAATCTCTCTTTCTCCCTTCCTTGTTCCTCTGCTGGATTGTCTTATGGACTACTTTAAACCTGCCTTTC